CTCTCCGCCTCATTCTCTCTCGACTCTCCACTCTTTCCTCAGCCTCGGGGAGCAGATTCTTTGCTTGGGGAATGGATTCGGCCTTCGACAAGTATTTCCCCTGTCCCTTTTTTTTTTATTTTGCTGATTTGATTTGAGCTATGGTTTGCTTGGGGAACGGATTCAGCCTTAAAGAGTAATTGGAATATGCTAAATGTGAAATTATGAACTTTTTAACTCTGTTTGAAGTTGATTAGAAACATTGAGCGTGGTCTTACAAAATCAAGGACGAACTTAGCTTCTTTTATTTTGGTTGGTTATTGTGTTGGTGTGAGCTGATTTTTCAGTCCACGTGATTAAAGTGAGTTTGTTTGGGATCATGGATTTGTAATTCAATAAATATCTTGCTTTTCATAGACATTGCGGGGAAGTAGTGTTGCAGTGATTTTATGAGCTTGTTGAACCTTTGTGTTGAAACATTTTACACTGAAAGAATTGCACATGTGATTCTAGCAAGAGTATGTGAGGAAGCGATATGTAAATCGTTGAAAGTTAATTTTATGGAGAGTCAACTGGTTAGAATGAATCAAGGTTTATAATTGTTTATCTACTTTAGAGTTAATTCATGCATGTGAACTGTGACTTGATCGTGTTTAGAGTTAATCCATTGGATAATACCTTTTTTTGGGCGAAGTTTATGTATTTTTTCTATTTTTCTTTATGTGTACAATTGACGATCCTTGTTTTTCTTTAGGAGGTATCAATTTGTTGATTTTATGCCATTTTTTAGTCTTTTTCCTCAACTGAATCGTTTTGCTATTTTGTTCTTTCCTTTATTTTTCTGTTTGTGTAATTAATAACTTTTATGAGTTTTCTTGTCGGTTTGTTTTACATTGAATCATGGTCTTAATTACTATCCAATTTAACTGGTGTAATATTTGCGGATGTAAAAGTGACTGAAGTTGTCTTTTAATTTATGCACATTGCAAAGATCAGATCTGATCAACCATTTGGGGGTTGAGCTCTTAAAACTTTTCAACTGATATATTTGAGCAAAGGTTGGAACTTGGTTCTAGACATAAAGATTGATGAGTTGATCCACACACACAGATTGGCCTTCCCTTTGGGTGGGTTTTCAATGGGGATTTTTTAAGAGTTGGGATTTTTTGGTAATTTTGAGTTTCTTTCTGCTCCTCCACGAGAAGCGGAGGACGCTTTAGAGCATGAGCCAGACGCAACAATAGAGGAGGATTACAGCGATGAAGAGATGGATGTTGACGAGCTTGAGAGGAGGATGTGGAGAGATCGCATGCTATTGAGGCGGCTGAAAGAGCAAAATAAAGAGACAAAGGTGGTTTCAAACTTATTTAAATTATGTATATTTCCTATATTGATTTTGAACTAACTTGTATCTATATATATTTGTTTTCGTGTAGATTTCAATGAAGAGGTGGAGGATCTTACACAAGATATCTTCAACTTTTCATTGAAAGAATAGGAGCCTTTCTCACAGAGATCAACTTCTCCTTAACGTAATGATGTACTTGGAGTCCCCCCACTGCAACAAATTATTTAAATGTTTAATTATTAATCATGTATGTTTGTTTTCTAATTTGTGAGACTTTTATGTGTTTGTTTTTTAATTTGTGAGAGACTTTCATGTGTTTGTTTTAATTTTAAACTTAGATTATGTAATATATCTACATCATGTTAAACAAGATGAGAAACATGTTCAGAAATAGGTTCTGAAATAAGTTCAAAAATAAGTTAACACGACCTATTAATCACTTGTTTCATAAACGTGTTGGCAGGTAATTAACGGGTTGACACACACGTTTATGACTTGTTTCATATACGTGTTGGCAGGTAATCAACGGGTTGTCGACTTGTTTAATAAACTGGTTAATCGTGTTGTGTCGTGTCAACCCGCTAATAAACAGGTCGTGTTTGAGTTTTGTATTTTGACGCGATTAATAAACGGGTCGTGTTCATGTCAGACCTATTCGTGTCAACTGAGGGGTTCAACACGACACGAACACGACCCGTTAACACGAATTACCACCCCTAGCTTTAATATATCTAATAGCTTTTAATGTGTAGAGACTTAATGGTAATTTCTATTTTTATGTTGAGCTAAAATATAAATACTAAAAGGTAGCATGAAAGTTATTTATATATAGTAGTTATGTACCCAGATTGCACATATCATTCTATTCTTTTCTGACATCCCATCATCAGAGAGAAAATATAGAGAAAATTAAAAGATTCTCTAGGAAAATGTATTGATTTGAAAGATAAACCACACGGTTCTAGAGAGTAATTTATTGTCATGGATTCAGGTATGTTTTCGCTTATTAATCTGTTAATTCTTGATGATCCAACATAAATATTTCCTAAATTTTGAGAAATATTTTAAATGTAAAGATATTTTCTATCAGGTTCTTCTGCCTGATAAAATAAGAAATATGTTGTTATTAGTTTTCGTCCGTCTAAAATCATCCAAATACGACTTTCAGAAAGTTGTAAATCTGATCAAAGAAACATACAAAAACACTAAAATAACATATACGAAATCAAAATTAAATCGAGACCTTGATCATTATAATTCAAGATCTAAATGGACATGTGTTACAATTTAAAATAAAAATTCTATCAACTCTTGAAATTCTCTCCATTAATTCCTGTGGAAAGAACACCGAAATTTTAGATGAAAAGATCAGAGAGAAAAAGGATAAAGGAGGAGAGAGCCTATATGGACTATGATAATTAAGAATAATTTAGGGCTCGTTCATTTCACCGATTCGAATTTTCAGTTCTAAGTTTTTACAGTAAAATGCTCTCAGAAAATATCACATCTAATTTTTTCTGCTACAGTGAAAAGTTCTCACAAAATGTCACATTTCAGTTTGAATTAAAAACTCGAATCCGCGAAGTGAACGAAGCCTAGATCAGATAGTATTTTTGTATCACAAGAAAGAAAATTGGAAATAATCGCAAATAAACTTCTAAGGCCTCGTTCATTTCACCGATTCGAGTTTTCAGTTTTAGGTTTTTACAGTAAAAAGCTCTCAGAAAATGTCACAACTAACTTTTTCTACTACAGTAAAAAGTTCTTAAAAAATGTCACATCTCAGCTCGAATTGAAAACTCAAATTCGCGAAGTGAACGGGGCATAAATTTAATTAGATAAATAATAATAATGCCCTTTTTTTAAATCCCTTGCATGCATATATACGATTTTGATAAATTATGATCATTTTATGTTCTAATAATATCCGCCTTGTCACGATGACGTGTAGGTGACAAATATATACAACCACTCGGTGCCGAGTGCATTATTGGGCATGTGAGACAGCAAAAAAGCTTATTAAGAAAAAACAAAAACTTATTCTATATGATTTTGAATAATTTATATATAGGTATCAGGTCATGAAAGACTACTGATTCCTAGCTAGCTTGCTAGGCTGATTGAGAAGAGTTTTCTCTTTGAGAGCCGCCAGTTGTTTTGCTGGTCGGATTAATAATATGCATGAGCACGTACACCGACCCATCCGACACAATTATTAGCCATTTCATGATATATATATATATATATATATATATATATGTATATATATGTCTGTATATATCGAAAAGACAAAAGATAGACAATTGATCTGTCATCATGGAAACAACTAATTGATACACAGAAATAAGTTTATCTATTCCTGTTTTTGGAGGCACAAATGGCTCGGAGATACCGCAGAAATTAAAGCTTCAAAATTTTTATCGTCTTATTTATTTTATCGATTTAAATTTTTAATTTTAATTTTATTATAATTAAAATTTTTTATAAAAAATTACATTTAATTTTTTTATTATAGTAAAAAATTCTTATATAAAATTATATCTCAATTTAAATTAAAAATTTAAATAAATAAATTTAACGAGACCTGCGTAATTATTAAGCTGAAACTCCGCTGAAAAAGACAGCATTAAGAGATTAAAGTAGTATATCTATGTTTTTCTTTCTTTGGTATATACACGATCGTCTTAGAGATATCATTTTACAACGACGTCCAGATTTCTTGTTTGGTTAATTTAGTTAAATTTGCACTAATTAAATTTTCCTATTTGCAATTTGTTTTCTGTGTTGTTTCGAATGTATGTTGTATTAATTATGTTGTGTAAACTTTGCTGTCCTGCTATATCCTATAATAAAAAATTAGTTAAATGCATAGTGGAGGTATATATTATACATATAATTAGCTCTCACTTTCTATTGTTGTTATAAATTAGTTATTGATCGTTATATGATCATGCTTCTATATAATATTATATTATATTAATTTGTTGTTGTTAAAAATTAGTTATTGATCATTATATCATGACTTTTTGCTACCCTTGTTATTGTTATATATATTTGAAAGGAATCAGTGTTATATATCTTATTAACTAAAGTATTATTGGACGTAGTACTTTCTTTACTAATAAATTTAAGTAATTAATTTGTCACTTATTGTTACTGTTTTATTATTATCGTTTTCTTTTTCATATTAGGTAATGGTACTGAAAATGATTAAAAACAAAAAGAAAAAAAAAAATTGAAAGTTGCATGGAAATTGTGTGAGACTTTTGCAAAAGACGTAAACGACACGTCATTTATTGTTGCCAACGACACGTTGAAATGTTGTTTTCAAGTGGATGACAAGAAAGTACAAAACGAAAGGCATTTGATCCTGTAATTTTACGGTCGTTTCCCGTGCCATGATGCAAATTGTCCTTTTCAAACAAAATTAAGTAGATTAAGGTATCGTAATCATATTTTCGTAAATAACATCGTACTTCAATTAAAATATTCCGAACACAATGAAACCAATGTGATAAAGTGTTAAACTACAAATTAGTAAAATGGTATTTTTCCTTGATTAGCCAAAGAAAAAAAATGGTATTTTTCCTAAATGATATGTCGCATTACGGAAGAAGAGATAATTCGGGATACACTTCATGTCGTTTGTATGATAAAGATATCACATGTCGTCTTTTACGAATACAATGCATCATTTCATCAGTGTCGTTTGTCTTGAAAAGTAAACGTCTCGTCATCTTGTGCCGTTGGACAGTAAACTACTGTAGACGACAAAAATGATGAATGTTCACTACTTAACTTAATATCCTTTATAAAAAAAAATACATGTCGTTCGATTGAAACGACAACTAAATGGAAAAATGTAATGTCGTTTCTTGAAATTTAAATCGTTTGTGGAGTATAAACGACAGAACTATAGAAAGCATATTGAAAAATTTTCTTTACAAATTCTAAACCAAGTATATTTATTTTGTGTTGCTTCAAACTGAGAACCCCAAAAAAAAAAAAAAAAGACAACTAATTTCCTGTCGGCAAAAGGGGTTCTTCATCTAGGGGGTTCTTGTTCTTTGCCACAAGGCATGAGATAAGCCAATAGAGAAAACCCGCAGTGAAAAAGCTGAAAAACCAAGCATTGTTGTAGATGACCACAAATGTGTCCGAAACCGAAGAAAGAATCCCAACTTTTTGCAAGAATCCCGGAACAACCGGCAAAATCCCAATGACCAACGCAAATAGAGCGGCCAAATTATAGCCTCGTGAGTAGTAATAAGCCCCATTTGGACTCATTGAGTACAAGTCCTTTAGACTTAATTTTGTGCCTTTGATAAGATAGTAGTCAGCCAGAAGTATACCTCCAATTGGGCCCAACAAAGCAGAATAGCCCACTAACCAAGTGTAAACAAAGCTCTCACTTGATTTAAGAAGCCTCCAAGGCTGAAATGCAATCCCAAGCAAAGCCGTGAGAATTGCTCCTCTTCTAAATGTGAACTTGGAAGGGCTAAGGTTGACCAGAGCATTAGCCGGGGCCACAACATTGGCTGCAATGTTGGTGGTAATAGTGGCAAGACTAATCCCAAAAATGGCTAAGATCATTGTCGTTAGGCCACCACCAATTTGTTCAAGGAGTTGAATTGGATTAGAAACGACACTCCCAAAAATGACCTTTGTTGAGGAGGTCACGGCAAGGCCCACAAATGTGAATAGGCCCATGTATATCGGAAGCCCGACTTGGCCCACAATTTGGTCCTTTTGGCTCTTTGCATATCTAGTGAAATCAGGAATGTTGAGAGCAAGAGGGGCCCAAAAGCTTATATTGGCGGTGAGTGAAGGGAAAAAATGAGACCAAAACTCGGATGAAGAGAGCCTTGAAGACAAAGAAAGCATGTGACCAAAACCACCGGCCTTAACATAAGCCCAAATCAAAAGACAAGAAGTGAGTAAGATGAGGATTGGAGCTGAGTACTTCTCTAGTTCTCTTATCCCATCAATCCCTTTCCAAACAATGGCCAATTGGGCAACCCAAAACAAAATAAAACAACCAAACTCAAGTGGGGATGTGCCTAACCATGGTAAAGTCATGGAAAGAGAAGAAGAGTTTTTTATGGAATTTGGCAAGAGAAGGAAAATGGCCTCACCACCGATCCAAGTCTCGATTCCGTACCAACCACAGCCCACAAGGGCTCTTAGAAGAGTCGGGACATGAGCACCGCGGATACCGAAAGAGGATCGGGCCAAGACCGGGAAAGGTATGCCATACCGAGTCCCCGGGTGACCGGTGAGGACCAGTGGGAATAAAAGGATGAGATTGGCACAAACGACCGTGGCTATTCCTTGCCACCAAGCCATGCCAAGTTCAACGAGGCTACCGGCCAAGTAATAGGAGGGGACTCCAACGACAAGTCCCACCCAAAGACTTGCCATCTCCCACCCCGAAAACGACCGCTGAGAATCTGTCGTTGGCTTGAGATCGTCGTTTGTGAGGCTCGGATCGAGTTGGTAGGAATAATTCTCCGATGTCGTTGATGAAGAAGCCATGCATATTGGAGTCAAAAGGGAGCGTTTGCTCTTGGTGGTTGATAACTTGGTACTTGGTGATGATAAAGAAGAAGCGATAGAGAGAGAAAAAGGCAGTAATCTTGGGGTTTTGATGGCCGTTGAAGAAGAAAAGGAAGAGAGGTGGGGATGGAGATGGTGATGGAAGCTAAAACATAATTTGGAGATCATATTTTTTGTTTGGAATAATAGCTTTCAGATGGGCATGTATGGAAAATTGGATTGATTCCAAGGTATCTCTCTGTATGTTGAGATGGGAAGTGTGTGGTTAAGACTAAGAGGACGTAATTGTCATTTCCCCCACCGCTGCGCGTGGATGAAGAAGAATCACACCTTTGAGCTCACGGGATCTTTTGACTTCTTATTTTTGAATTTTTGTTTTCGGGACTATGTAATTTTATATATATATATATATATATAGCTCGGGGTTCTAAATAGTAAATAAGCTATTGATCATATTAAGGCCTTGTTTATTTCACTGATTCGAGTTTAGAATTTAAATTTTGTTACAGTAAAAAGCTCTCAGAAACAGTCACATCTAACTTTTTTACTACAGTAAAAAGCTCTCACGTAAAGTCACATATTAACTCGAATTAAAAACTCGAATCAGCGAACTGAACGGGCCCTAAAAGTGGAAGGACTAGAAAAAATAAATTATTAATAATTTTATGTTTTTAGTTATTAAAATTGTATTAAAATTATTTGTTTTGTATATTTATTTTATTTAATGTGATTTTAATTTGATTTAACAGTTAGAAGTTAACATTACCAATAAAATTGTATATTAGAGAAACTCTTGTTAAAAAATTGAATAAGATTTTAAAGATTTCATAAACGACACCGTTACCTATATTTTATAAGTATCGTATGATTAAATTGTACCGACCAATATTCTTATATGGTAGGGGCACTCTATTGTAGAATTTGCTCATTAAGAAAATATCTACGGCATAGTGAAAAATATTAAGTTCTGTTAAATCATCTAACTTTTCTTAATTTAATATGACTTTGATGTAGTCATGGTTTAAATCTGTTACGAATCTCAATGAAAGTAAATTTTTCATAACCTACACTATAATTTTCGTTTCTCTCTCTCTCTTTTCATTTTTCCTTTCTTTAAAGTTTTTGGGTTACTTGCATAGCAAAATGTGTGATATAATATCCAGACTTGATTATATTTGATCTTGGGAATGAAAATGAGTATACGATTCGAGATTTGGCGGTTTAAATAAATGTGTATTTTGCGTGATGAATTATTAGATGTGGGGCTTCAGCTAACTACCAATCATTTGTGTGCTACTTCACACCATGTGCATATTCTGTGTCGTAGCTTTCAAAAACGACACATTGACTTGGATAACAACGCAATTTCAGAGAAGGGCAAAACATTAAGATGATATTTGATTTATGTATTCAGAATCATTCTCGTTTTACGTATGTTTTTTGTTAGAGAAAAACACTATAGAGAACCATGAATCATGATTCAGAATCAGGAACGAATATAAAAAACAAACGTCTCATAAAAAATGAAAAACCGACAGTGGCTCGACTTTAAATAGATTTGAAAAACAAAACAACGATAACTCCTTTGATAACGACTTCGTCCATAAAAATTTATAAAAACGACAGTAAAAACAATATCAGCTTGGGAAACAGCACTATCTTTTGATATGATCGTTCAGAAATGGCGTTTGCTCAATTAAATATTAAATATTATAGAATCATATATATATATATAGGTCACCAATTATTTTCTCTAATGCTCCACCCCATGTGCGTTTGTTTGGAAGAATCCATCTTCACGCTTAAGTCTTAACTACCAGTTAGTTTTCTCTGAATTAGGTACAAACACATTAATTGAGATTTAGATCTGTTTAGACTACTTAAGATGATACAATATATTAGAGGATACTGGACACCGAACTGATTTCGTAAGAATAATAACGATAAGTTATAAACAGCATCTTGGAAAAGGAACAAAATCCTACAAATGAGAACTTTAATTATTGGTTTGAGTTTATTTTTCCAAGAAAAAAAAATCTAGCAAACAGATGAGCAAAAGTTGGCATTGGATAAAGAAAATTAAACCATATTGATAATAGTCTATAGGCTAGACTAGACAGAGAAAATTTATTTTTAATTTGAGTGCTTTCGTATTAGTTTACCAATCTATCTCAAAAGTTTAAGCTATTAGGAGATGGGCCAACAGTAGTTTTATACTTTAACACTCATCCTCACGTGTGGGCTGGACAATGGGCAATCGTGTGGGTAAATTAATTGAAAAACCTAACACGTGAATATTTAAGCCCGAGATATATAAAGACCCAACACGTGATGACAATTTAAATAGGGATAAAGAGTGAAATTACGAGGGTTTGAACTCAGGACCTCCCGCTCTAATACCATGTTAGTTTACCAATCCATCCCAAAAGCTTAAGCTATTAGGAGGTGGGCCAACAATAGTTTTATACTTTAACACTTCGGCACTATTTAGATCATTGGTGTCTTCACATCTCAGAACAACAGTCAATTATAACCCCATTGCCAATAAAACAGAACTTGTTCATATTTTATCAACTAAAATTCAATGAGTCTAAGGGGATGTTTGTTTCATGTATCTGTTTTTAGTTCTGAATCATAATTTATGATTCTTTACAGTGTTTTTCTCTCACAAAAAATTTAAATTTCAAAATTTAAAATCATGAATCATAATTCTGAATCTATAAATCAAATGTTACCTAAAATCATAAGACAGTCATAGACATAACTTCAACCCCACAGTAGAGAATAGGAATTGATCTAGGGATGATAGGACAATGCCACCTGGCAGGTAGTGTGGGTGCTTATATGGCACGTTAAAGGCAATATAATGACAACATTTTGAGAGTGGTTTAAATCTAAACATGTCACGTTAGAGGCAATACAATGACAACATTTTGTGAGTGAATTAAATCTAAAGCCCAAAAGTGAGACACATCGTGAAGCGGTTAAAATAAAGAAAACCATATTCCTTACACAAGAAGTTTCCTTCTTTCTAATTCATTCGTTCGTATTGTCTTACATGGTTCTTTAGGGGCAAACACACCGTATGAGGAAGTTTCCACCGTGCCAAGTCAAAATTCTTGCTTTTTTTAGATAATTGCCCATAACCTAAATTTCACCTGTCCCTCTAACTCTTCCAACATCCACCAAAACCAATATGTAAAAGACAAAAATGACCCCTCAAATGCTTAAAATTTCCAAATCTATACACCTTGTCAAATATTCACCAAAAAATAATTTTTTTTAAATGAACTAAACTCCTATACTATATATACACACCATAGACATAATCACCAACTTATACACTTGCCAAAATTTAACCCACACAAGCAAATCTACCTAGCTAGCCATATTCATATATATATTGCCACGTTTACTCTCATAGATTTGAATCCCTCAAAGCCATATGTATATATATATATATATATATGTATGTATCAATTCAACACGGCCCCCCAATTTTTATTGGAACAAACAACCCATTCTTCCAAAATCAAACCGTTCCCCCAAATTTCTCTCACATTTTATTCACATGCTCTTTTTCCCTAAATAATCTCTTCTAATTATATAAAAACCCCACTTTCCAATTTCTCTTTAAAAAAAAAAACAGAAAATAGAATAAATCAAGGCAATGGAAAGCAGAAAAGTGCCTCCAAATCTCATAAACTCAGTCTTCACTCCTCTTGTAATCTCCGGAACCGGCATAGTCATCACTGCCGTAGCAATACTATTATACCACTTCATAATAGTAAGGTTTTTCCTCAACACCGAAAGGCACATGAGAAGAGTGATATTTGATGGATCTTTGGTTCATGAAGAAAAACGACACAATCAAGGGTTGGACAAGAAAATCCTCAACATAATCCCAACCCTCCATTACTCCTCCCAAAAGAGCACTGGTCAACCATTTCGCGTTGACCAAAGCGAGTGTGCCATTTGTTTGGGGAGTTTGAGGAAAATGTTGTCGTTCGGCTGTTGCCTAACTGTGGACATACGTTTCACGTGCAATGTGTGGACGAGTGGTTGTCGTCGCACACCAATTGCCCAGTTTGCCGATCACCCGTTTTTCCCATCGTGATTCCCAAAGTGCCCTTGTCCGCCGAAGATCACGACAATCACGATGATCGTGAAATTAGAGTACTTGATCATGAAGAACGGTGTCGTTTTGATGATCATCTGCCTTTGGATCTGCCTAGTCACGTTGAACAAGCGAAGCCAAGGCGTGTCGTTTTGGGGTTGAAGAGGTCTTTCTCCATGGATCAATCTCATGTCCTTGTTGATATATTACAAAGAAAAAATTATCATGATGATCATAAAGTCTATTTTCCTTCTTCTTCGAAAAAGTGTCTTAGACAGAGCAGATCGTACACGGATCGGTTTGACTGGATGTCATCGGTATCAATGATGTCGTTTTCGCAGCTGCGGATGGGAAGAGATAATAGCATTAGCAATATGGGTAACGGATCAGATTCCACTGATCCTTGCTAAATTTTTTTGTGTTGGTTTTTTTATTTTTTTTTTTTTGAGCAGGCTTTAGCTAGTACGTGATTTGATTTTATAACTTGATTATGATGATTTCTTTTAGAAAGTTAACTGACAGAACAAATTTCCCTTCTTTCATTTACATATTTTCCTCTCAATCGTGCAATGTTAATTTTTTTTTTTTTAAGGCAATTTGGATCACGTGACATTCTCTGAAATTAGTTGTACCACAAATGGGTGGAGATAATAAAATAAAGTTCAGACGGCACCAGACTGAGTAAATATTTAACATAAGTTATGTTACATAACCACTAAATAAATTAATATAAGTTTCTATTTAATATATCCAACACTATGCATGTGCTTACCTATCCCATATTATTACATCTCATATCATAATTGACCTAAAGTTGGAAGTCTTCAAAATCATTAGTTTAGCGATGGTATATCGGTGTTAAATAAAATTGGATTTTAAGAATCTTTTCTTCTTTATTCTTTTTTTTTTTTCTTCTTCTTCTTCAATTTGTAATGTAGATTTACGAATTGAATTGCTTTGCCGAAATGTATGCCGATCTTCTTCTTCTTTATCACCTATCTCTAAATATTGAATACTCTTGCGATCGATCTATGTCTATGAATATTGTATGTTATGCTTCTGTATGTTTTATCAAAAAAGTAATTACCCATCATCTAAAATACTAATTTTAAAAAGAATAATTTGAAATCTATCTTCTTTACATAATATTAGATTTTTTTTATTTTTTAAAAATTATTTATTTATGCTACTCATTTTGCCTTTTTCATATTATGATGTGTTGAGCATTACCATAAAGTTGTAATCTTTATAACAATGAACATATATTTATATATTATACACAAATATTGCCCATCTTTATGCTACTTTACATAATATGTTTGTTTTTAAAGTAAACACAGATCTGTGCTTTTTTTTTTCACATTATTTTTGTGTTATTATGCATTTCATGGAATGGCCCGTCACAAGTATATTTAACATGCATAATAGCCTTTCAAGAATTGAAGTTAAAAAAAAAAAAAAAAAAAGTGTCCATCAAGAATGAGAAAGAGAAAGTTTTCTAACATTAAACATGATGTTGGATATATGCATTTATTGATATTGGGTAAGACTTATTATCAAAGCATAAATTTCGTAGACACTATTATTAAATATAAACAAATAGGAAGAAACAAGCATCATACGGCGTTGACTTTATAGTTCAAGTTTGGCAGAGTTAGTTCAAGCTAGATCTTCGTATATTTTTCAAAACATATGATGTCTAAGGTGGATAATGGACAGATAAATGATTTTGGAAAACATCCCACAAATGATGTAACCGTGTTGCAATACGACAATAATGTTCAAATTAAAAATGCAATTTGAGCAAATCACTTCAACTAATTTCTCTAAGAAGGCTAGCTTTTGCCGTGGAAGAAATAGCCAAATATATATATATATATATATATATATATATATTCAGCAAAAAGTTGAAGTTTTTAATAAGTGTACTGTAATTTCGAAATTGCATTATAATAAAAAGTAACTTAATCCATGAGAAATTAAAGAAGGAAAAGGAATAAAGTTTTGGGTTACGAAAATCTAATTTAATTAGCACTTACGCGGGTTCCTTTATGAAAACATATTTTAATCCCATCAGCTTGGACTTGAAAATCTTTTGAATGGTTCATTTCTTTAGACTGAATTATTCAAGCATTCCAAAGAGAATAGAACAAGTTTAAAAGCAAAAGACTGAATATTTTAAAAAATAATGTTATAATGAGTTGCGCGGCTTTTGAGTCTTAATTAATTGGTAGCCAAAAATACATTGTTTTTTTTTTTTTCTCCCTCCAAGAAATAATAGAATTCTCTATGTATAATAGAGTATGAAAAAAATCTTATCCGTCAGAGCTCAAAATGTATGATCCTTCAGACTGATGATCAAATCAAGAAAAGTATAACAAATGAACGAAACTTGAACAAATAATGCAAGCCATGCTTTTTGTTAAAAGTAACCAATTAATTAATAATGAGAATTAGACCATTAGCAAAGTTCATACTTATTGGCCATATTTATTTCCCATTTGGGGTGTTTAATTTTGAGCTTAAATTGGATAATTTGAATTCTAAACCTTAATATTAAAAATGGATGTCGAATTACCACCTCACTAATTGCAATTTATTGGCCTTAACTCGCAATACTAATATTCATGTGCATGCTATTATTTAATATCTCGCATTCACGTGTAATTCAATCATGTTCCTTTTACGTGCTAATTAAGAATTTTGTTGTGAAAAAGTCGCATACGAAAGAAAGAAACATATAACAACGTCGTAAGAACCTTCCTAATCAGTTTCTATTTATAGATTGCTCGGAATCTAACCTAATATTTGTAGATCGAGATATTTCGTGGAATAACTTGACATCCATGAATTAAGTGGTACTAACACAGGATTAATTAAAAAAAAAAATTTACGGTCAACTTATTTTTGGTTTGTTTCTTCAATGAAGTTAGCGACAATACATTTAGTTTGGGTAGTAATTTACCCTTTTTTTTATCCCTTTAATTGACCAATTGATGTTTAGTATGTTTGCACGAATTAATTGGTTTCTTTATTATTACTTTTCTCTCAAAGTGAATGACTTCTAATAATGGATTCTGGTCTAGAGAAGTTTATTTGTCATCTTTAATTAAATGTTTTTTTTTTTTAGTAAATTCTTTAATAATATATTTGAACATATATAAACACCTACTTCTTTACTTAAATTACCTAATAGGCGTTATGTGGCACCAATATAGTACCCATCAATCTACATCAATTCTACCCACTTGTTATGACTTCCTATAGTTTAAATCGGAAAAGGTGCTACAAGAAAGAAATATTTCATCTCTCTCTTTTTCCACGTTAAGTTAAATATAAATGCTAAAAAGAATAAAAAAAAAATATGTGCTATAAATTCCTTTTCTAGCCTTCTATGTTAATTTTCTACATAGCATAAATAAATAAAATGTTCTATGAAACAACACTAATTTTGATTTTTATATTATTGGCAAGTTAATAATTACCAAAAGTTATTGTTGTGATTCAAAAGACATTATAAAATATACAAATAATTATTTGACGTGGTATTGATAATTACAAAATCAATACTATTCGTGAAATACTTTAATTTTTTAGTGTTTTATAAAAGAAAATAACCCGCGTCTAATTCTAACCATTTCTCATGGAAAATATGGCCAAAATTGCATGAAAAGTAAAAGCAAAATCAACCAAATAATTCACTTACTTACTCCTACAAAAACGGCGAGTCTATCATGGAAAGTTGATTTGCCCCATCAGTTGTAATAAACAAAAGAAAAGTTGCATTGCTCCTTTATGTAAACGGCCCATGTGGTTGGTGGGCCCTTGAAAACAAATAAAACGGAATCCACAAAGACTTGCTTTTTAATTTCTTAATGACATGTACACCTTGCAATTGTCAATAACAATTCTGCATTATTGCATCTTTCACAAGAGAGAATTTGTTGTATGGGACCCAAAACCTAAAAGGAAGAACTTTCTTCCATACCCTTTTGTTTCTTGGCATGCTTTTTTAGACATAGACACCCAAATAGTGGAGTTTTTTTTTTCCTTCATTTTTTTTTTCCTTTCCCTTTTTTTTTTTTTTTTTCCTCTTGGGTTGAAAAAAGAACCATTTTTTTTCCTCTTCTTTTTTAGCTCCAAAGGAATGAATAATTCTAGGACCCAAATGGAGCTCTATGAGGAATGCCTTTTCTTCTTCTTGCACTTGAAGGAGGTGGAGAAGGCGTGGGCGGGTATATGTCTTGTCGTGAGCCTTCACGCAATTCTTCTTCTTCTCTTAACAATGTCCCTCTCGTTGACGATATCCCTTCTAGTCTTCTCATCCGCACTAATTCTTCCTCATTCTTTGCCTCCAAGGCAAAGCTTGCATCACCATTTCTCTTTATTGCCACAAGCTACATATAAAAAACGACCAAAAAAAAACTATATATCTAATCAATAATGTCCAAAGTCAATCCAAACAAAACCCATCACCATAAAAACACATAAGAAGAACAAGAAATTGAAGAATGACCATAATTCTAACACACATACATGACATTATAATGTGGTGGGCAAAAAAAAAAAAAAAAAAAAAAAAAAAAAAAAAAAAAAAAATATTTTTTATATTTAGGTGGTGGGTTACAATGATGTTGATGGTGATGTGTGCGTGATGGGCTATGACCATATGGTGTGTTTGCAAACCATATGTTAGTAATGTACATTGATTATATGGTTAACAACATTGAAGAAATTATGAAAACTTAATTACAAACATATATAACAATGTAAATATATATTTTTGTGAATACACCCAAAAAAAAAAAAAAAAAAAAAAAAAAAAAAAAAAAAAAAAAAAAATAACCCTTACAACCCAGTGAACAGAAGCGGAAGGGGTCCAACAAGCTTCTCCCACAGATTTCACAAATGTGGGCGACGCCCTTACCGGTCTTGGGCTGCGGCCGCTCGTTGAGGAACAAAACCCTTGCACTGTTTATCACATACGTTTGAACTCCACTTATGTCCAACACTTTCTGAATCTCGGAAACTCTCACAACATCATGGTACGAAGATCTCCTAATCTACAATGCCAGCATAATGTCGGCGATTAGAGAAGATATTTAGAATCATAATGTGGTAATTATAAGGTTATTTACTTTAATATTAATTTACCTGAATGACTTGGTGATCTTGGTGTTTAGATGAACGGCAATAGAAGCAAAAGGCGTCGCCGTTGGGGCAATCTAGGCAGAACATGTTGCGCTCGCTCCGGGCGGCGTCACCGTGAGTCCGGCAGACCGAGAAAAACGACGTCGTTAACAATGGCTCTAGCCACGGTGGCACCGGCATTTTCTTGTCCTGATAATTATCTGACCCACACAAGCAAAATATTAGATGATCATTATTTGAGAACCAAACGAAAAAAAAAAAAGGGTACAAATATTAAAGAGATTAATGTGGTGTGACATTACCATTCAGGAGAAGAAGAAAAAATGGTAAGTTTTTTTTTCTTTTTTCTTTATTTTTTTTCTCCTCTGCCCAGATAGATATGCTTTGGATTCAGCACTTGGTAATGACGTACAAAGAGAAAGAGAATTGGAGAAGAAAATGTAGAGAGAGAAAGAGAGAAAGAGAGAAAGAGAGATGAGAGAGAGAGTAAACGACCTGCAAGCAACTTAGAATTCAACAAGAAAACAACGCTTAGACTAGGGAACAAACAAGAGTTGATAAAAACTAAATTAATGTACGAATTCGAGGCCTAATAGTAAACAGAGATTAATTCAACGAATGAGATTGAATGTGGTGGCTGGAGAGAATCGTCGGCCATCGGATTCGGCTAGATGGGGATTGGTGGGTTTGGCGCTTACGCTACTTTTGGATCTTCTTTGCGTCTCTTACGTACTCTCTCTTTCTCTCTCTCGAGGTAGCCCACTTGGTTACGCATGATAATAAGCCGAGATTTTTTATTACTTGTTTAGTTTCTCTCTCTTCACAAAGCCATATGGGTTTTGGATCAATGCCACGTTGCAAAGAATGGTCCACGTGGCAGAGATCAACGGTGGAAGCATGCAAAATTAATGGGAAAGCCACATTTTGGGTTAGTTTCCTGTTGCTGACGAAGCAATTAGTGAAAATTGATGGCAATACTAGTTGGTTTCTTTTCTTTTTTTCCTTTTGAGAAAAAAGAGAAAAAGGGAAAAAAAAATTATGTATAAATTATATAGTTGGGAATTGGTTACTTAAGAAAAAATCTCCGTAAATGGTACGAGTAAACTTTCATAAGATGATAAGAACCTTTTTTAGTTTGGGGCCCCAAAAAATCATTTTCAAGAGAAATAGAAATGTGTAATTTTGTAATTAGGGAATTATGTTTTCGAGTTTGGTAACTTCGTTTTTGGTGATATTTTCTTGTATTTTTTTCACATTCAAATATTTATTTGTTTTGTTGAAATATCTAAACAAATACGAAAAACCATTGAAAGCAACTTGAACATAATTCGAATACATTATTGCATTAATGTCATTTTCAGATATCCATTTTTGACGTAAACATGTTTTAATTCTTTATTCATCAAGCGAAATGGATGTCTAGAATACCCCAATCAAAAGGAAAAAAAAAAGGGAGGATTAACTTTCCGTCATAAGTTAGTAAAAAAATATTCTATCTTCGTCCCTTTAATACAAACACGTTAAAATATAATAATAATTATAATAATAGTAAAATAAAAGGTTAAGCTCTTTGTTAGCCAACTAGCAAATTTGAAACCAATAATCTCATTGGTGTATTAAAGATATACATATAAAAACTACATAGTTGACGTTTTAGCTTGGTCATGAAAGGCTCCATCTGCATAATTTTAGGCAGCATGTCATGTGTCGGAAGGGATTTTATTCTAAGCACTTAAAAAGAAGAGACGTAGTTATAGCATTATTATTAAATTATATGTATAACATATTAATAATTTAATCATATGATTACAAATAAATTTGGTTATGTGGCCGGCAGTACTACTTTGGTATTGAAATGGAATCCATCATTGCAATTAAAGAACTACTAAACATATACTTCTCACTTCTGGCATCGGATTTGCCTTGGTAGAGCCCCCATTAATATGTATTGCAAAAAATAACCAAACAATATATATAGAAATCTTAAGTGTAATTTACTTGGCAAGAAAGGAAAAGAGTTTTAGTCACAAAGTTGCAACTTTTAAGACATCACATGTATATATATCTTTGAATTTTCTCATTTTTTAATAATGAAAACTTTAAAATTATTTTCCTCATAAAAAAAAAATCTGATAATTTGTGATTTTATACGAAACCTCATTAAGGTTATTGATATTATTATTATTATTATTATTATTATTATTATTATTATTATTATTTTGCCGGAATGATTATCAACTGAATTGCATTCCACCAAATATCTATATGACCATACTCCATACCACTTAATATTAAAAAGAAAATTGTATTTAAGGTGAAGAGAGAGGTAAACAAAATACTAAGTTAAACTAATTATTACAATTTTTTATTTTTATTTTTCTTTCCCTTTCATATATATGAAACAATGCGTTATAGGGAGTATTTAAAATAGTTCTTAAGATTCCCATATTTTAAACCTTTTATTGGTTAATTAGGTAGCATATGGGACTGCTTTTTCCACAAGAGAAAACCATCAATCTTATCGGATAGCAGGTCCCAGATCTTTCATTTAAAGATCTAATTAGGAGAAATATCAATTAAATGTGGAATTCTACTAAAAAATTAATGTATTTATTAGCCAAAATTAGGGTAGATATCTTTAAAGCTCTTAATTCTCCAATCCAGGTGGCTCCAGCAATACTTAAAAAAAAAAAAAAAAATGCCAGAAGTCTAGACAAAGCTAAAAATATGTGAAAGGTTAATATTAGGACAAAATAAATGAGGAGAGAGAGAAAAAGAAACTTGATCAATTACACTGATTAAGTTAGACATATGAATAAAGTTGAATGATATGATATATGTGAAACCGATGCATATCCTCGGCTAAAATATTGAACACTTTCTAAAGCTTATGAAACTCCACACAAAACGTCAAGAGGCAAATTTTCATTTACTAATTTAAATATAAATTAATATAGGGAAATAGTAGAAAATAGGCCAATATGAAAAGTTTAACAAAGTATATAGGTCAATTTTTAGTTATAAAAATTAATAGGCAATAACTTGTCAAGTTATGGTTCATAACTAGATAAGTTATGGACAAATTTGTCAAGTTATGGTTCATAGCCAGACAAGTTATAGACAATTATGGACAATAACTTGTCAATTTATGGTTTATAACCAGACAAGTTATGGACGAAAATAGTAATTTGGCCTATTTATTAACTTATGTAAATTATTGACTTATTAATTTTAATTCATTTCAAGTCTTGGCATATTTTCCTATTTCTCCCATTAATATAAAAGTGCCTACCAATGTACCATTTTCTTTTTCCTTTTTTTTTTTTTTGAAAGAAAAAAGAGTCATTTGGCGCCAAGACAACCTTAGGGGGTTTGTCATTAGGGGGAAAAAATTGCTTTGCTTTTTACGTACTTTGTTTATGAGTCTTATGACGCATGTACTTAATTTGTGCTGGATCTTTGGCTCAGTTTTGTGGTCCTTCGTGTTTCTTGAAGTAGCAAAAAGTAGAGTTCAATTAGATCACATGGATTTTTTCCAATAGTATTTCTCTCACAAATATATACACACATAAATATATACATGCGTAGTTTTAGTTATAAGATATTAATCCAACAGTCGTAATAAATTAGATAGTTAACTTAAAAATGATGACAACGTCATGTCATTAACTTTTTATATTTAATAATAACTACTAATAAAAAGATGATCACTAAAAACTCGTCGATATATAAATAGTGTATATTAAATAGTAGAGTACTCGAAGCCAGGGCTGGCAACGTGGGGGATTACTTATTATTAAACATAATACTCTTCTCTCTTTATTTTCCTGAATTTGCTGCGCAAAATTATGTGCCACTCTATATGTAATCTAATACACATGCATAATGAGCTCGTGTTATCTTTAGGAGCCAGATTCTTGATCACGTTCAACATTAAGGGTATCCCATGTCACTTGTCACTTGAACAAGTTAATGATAGGTTTGTTTAGCCTAGAAATTCCATAATTTGTCATTATTACTAGCCTTTTCGATTAAGTCAATTCTTAAACTGATTCTTTCCAATATTATTGGGAGAAGATACATGCTTATAAATGACATCATTTTCCATCTAAAAGCTTCTTTGGTAGGAGGGAAAAGTAAAAGAAGAGAGGGGTAAAGAAACAGTAGAAGAACTTTAGAATCTATAGTTGTTTGATAGGAGAATATATTGAATGAATTAAGTGTCTACGATAGTGTCGTATCGGATCTCCAATTCGAAACCAGTTTAAGAATCGTTATAGATAGCCTCACGATACTCTATAGCCACGAACATGATCTTTATAATCTTAATCACGATCCTCTTGAATACGATCATAATCACATCCTTGATTGCTCATGTTGTTTGTGGTTATTACGAAGTAATACTCGAACAATCACAAAAATCCATGACTCGATAAACGAGTAGTAGGGAGAGAGAAATTTTGACTGAAATTTCATGTATATATGTATATCACTTGTTTATGTCCTGATTATCTACCTATTTATAGCCACACTTGTCATAAAAGAGCATGTACAAAATATGAAGAAAAAAAAATCTCTCTCATTATTCAACAGAAAATAATAAATTATCCGATTCATTCAATCCATTAAGATATTAGAAATTGTTCATAACATTTCGAAAATGAATATGTCCCTTTCATGATTTTATTCCAAATAAAACTAGAGTTTTAATTTTTAGGTCATGCATCATTATAAGCGCCTTAAAATTTAACACTCATAGTGTAAACGAATTAGATTAGAGAATTCACATCAAACACAATAAGATCAGAAATTCAGATCAAACACAATAAATAAACTTGAAACACATTACAAATAAAAATTCTAAAGGTCGCAAATCGCCAATAGTACTGAAATTACACGTTTACTCTTATAAAACTCGACCTATCTCCTCACATTTAGTTTTGACTTGAAGAAATTAGTTATGTACAAATCTCATACTATTGAAATAATTTGTTATCTTAGGAAATAATGAACTCCACTTTTACTTAAGTTTGACTGTTTGAGGATTAGCTCATGTCTTTTGAATTTTAATCTCCAAGGATCTCCATATATACTCCATAGAATCAAATGTAATTTATAGAGAATTTATGTTTGACATTCGTAACAAAAAAAACAAAACAAAAGAATCAATTTTGGTTGAATATTTGATATTGACTTATTGAGTAGAACGTTGCATTTGTAATATGGAGTGTCGGTGGAATTTTTATTTATTTTATCTTTTATTTTCTCTTTACCTCAAATTCTCAGTATTCTTTTCCAGCTTCCAAGTGAGGGCTTGAGGCATATTAATTTGTTATTCTCATTATGCGTAAGACATAGATGCATCAATTCAAGTTTAGTGAAACTTTATGGTCATTTAATGTAGCATATTGTCACACGAGTTTTAGGAATTCTC